CACACACACACACACACACACACACACACACACATCCAGATACAGAAATGCATGGGCCACAAATGATAATAAAGGCCTGAATGACATTACATGCTCGCTGAACTCTTTGGAGAAGACATTGTGTCAGAAATCTATGGTCACTTATAGTACTGAAATATCAACCCCCATAACTATCTGTCTGGGGTGCAGAGGAGGCTTCTGGGCTGCCATACCACCACTTCCAGCACAGAAGAGGCTTCCAGGCCATCGGACCACAACTCCCAGTGCAGAGAAGGCTACTGGGCTACTGTACCACCACTCCCAGCACAGAGGAGGCTTCCAGGCCCAAATAGCACCACTCACAGTATAGAAGAGGAGAGCCGTGAGGGGTGCCAGCAGCATACACACACACACACAAACACACACACACACACATACACAGTCCCCTACTCACCCCAACAAAATGGGAAGACATGTAAACAAGTCTCACAACCAGACTTCCAGATTACCTGCAGCTACCCCAAAGGGAAATGAGATGGAACAGATACTAAACCAACTGTACTCCCTGAATTGGCAACAAAAGAGGATCTGGAAAAAATGAAATCAGAAATAATTTCTCAGATAACAGCAGGGATAGTGCCCATAGTGCAAGACATGATTAATAAATCTAGAGAGGACCTGAGGAACATGATGGAATCCCAAAAAAGGAAACAAATGGAATCCATAAAACAGATGCAAACAGATTTCCAGGAGATTAACAACTCCATTGAAAGTCTGCACAGCAGAATGAGCCAATGTGAGGACAGAATTTCAGATATAGAAGATAAGATTGCAATTAGTGAACAGGAAAAGAAAAATTGCTTTAAAATTGTAAGGGACCACAAGAAATCAATCCAGCAGCTGCTAGATGATGCAAAGAAGAATAATATAACACTGATTGGAGTCAATGAAGAATCAGGAGAGAGTGCAGATGACATAAAAAAAAAACTGTTAACAGAAGTGATGGCAGAAAAGTTCCCAAGCAGGGGAAAAGAACTTGACATACAGATAAGTGAGGGATATAGGACTCCAAAAAGCCTTGATCAAAAAAAATCTACACGTAAGCATATATTTGTAAAGATTCTGGAAACTCAACAGAAGAACAAAGTTCTACAAACAGAGAAAAGAAACAAATCACATATGAAGGAATGCACATCAGAATCGCACCAGAATTCTTAACACAAACCCTCAAGGCAAGAAGAGCTTAGAGTGATGAATTCCAAGCCCTAAAGGAAAACAGCCTCCAAACAAGATTGATATACCCTGCAAAACTATCTTTCAAAATTGATGGAGAAATGAGATACATTCATGACAAAGAGCACCTGAGGAACTTTATGAATACCAAAGCAGCACTCCAAAAAATTTTAGACAATATCCTAGGAAAAGACAATGAGGATCACAACATCAGGAAGCACAGAACAGTGAATCCATTGGGTGCAAAAAGAAATTAAATTCAAAGGGGGATAATCCAACAAAAACAAAAACTCATGACAATGATAAGTCAATATGTATCAGCTATAACCATCAATGTTAATGGTGTCAATTCACCAATCAAAAGAAATAGACTGGCAGAAAGGGTCAAGAAGCAAGATAAAACAATATGCAGCATATAAGAAACACCCATAATTCAAAAAGAAACTCATAGACTGAAAGTTAAAGGGTGGAAAACAATACTCCATGAGACAAGAACCCCCCAAAAAAGAGGTGCCTATCCTCATTGCAGATCAAGTGGATTTCAAACCAACACTGATTAAGAGAGACAAAGAAGGACACTACACCCTTGTAAAGGGAACAATCCAACAGGAAGAGATGACAATCCGAAATATATATGCACCAAATACAAATGCCCCCAACTATACAAAACAAATATTAATAGGCATGAAAAACCAAATAAGCACTAAAACATTGTCATAGGGGACTTCAATACCCTACTATCACAAATAGACATATCATCTAGACAAAACATTAACAAGGAAATTCTAGAACTGAACCAAGCTATTGAACAAATGGACTTAATAGATATTTACAGAGTGTTCTGCCCCACAAAATCAGAATACACATTCTTTTCAGCTGCACACGGGTCATTCTCCAAAA